ACATAGGGAACTATGTGAAAAAAGTCAAATAAAGATTTTCTAAATGGAAGGTACACCCAAGAACATAAGCCCCCTCCTAAATTTTTCAAGGCCCCCACCCCCACATATGTAAGGCACGCACAAACAAAAGCTGGGGCGCCTACACATGAAAAACGTCAATTGCGATACACGTTACATATCGTCACGCACGCCAGAATGAGAGCAATAATTCTAGTATCAGACCTTCTCCGTAACGCTAAACTGATGACCTATAAGGGCTTTAAAACTGCCACCTATAAAAATATAGGTAACTAAAGTTTGTTGCAGTTTCACGAATGCACGAAATTTAAGGTTTGACATGTTGGATATCTATTTACTCAATGCAACCTCATCTTTTATATTTCACAGACAATTACTTTTGTGCCGTAAAATTAACAAGTATTTTTTACTGAAATTTTGCGTTTCCTAGACCTTTGTGATAATATCTTGTGACATTAAAATAGCGGTAGTTTCAAATTTTTTTTTTTCTCTAGGATCTCAGAAAATATATAATGTTGGGGGTTTTGTGTTATCTTCAGGCCTTAAATGATTTTTTTTAAACGTGTGCAAAAAACTCAACAGCTCTGGCAGCAAAATGGATAATAGATGAGCCCAGCACTCTTCTTTCCTGACGAGCACCTAATTGTTGCTCATTACACTGTAAGGTCTCTCCTGTTTGCTAGTCCGAGTGTGGTGCTGGAGAGAGGCAGGGAGGGGAGGAGGAGATAAACAGTACAATGTTAAAAATATTAAATGTTTAAATTGCCATAAAGCCCCTTTTGTTTTTATAAGCCCCAGACATTACTTAAAGCAGATTTAAATATGGTTTTGGGTAAAATGTAGGGTTTTTTTTTTTATCATCAAGAGAAGTAGATTGTCATGAGGGACAAGTAGATTGGGACACAGTTAGTCCTTGGACAAGTAGTTTTTTCAAAAATTTCCACACCTCTGCCTACCATACTGATAGCATCCCATATATCCATTAGCACAGGCGGGCTTTTAAAGAAAGGTGTCCAAAGTGTATTAATTGTGCCTGAGAGATTTCCACACTCTGATTTGAAAAAAATCAGAATAATAATTATAATAAAAATAACCAGAGTGCTGCATCACCCCAGGGTTCTATCTGAATTCTTCAGGGGTGATTTGGAAAAATGCCCAAAAAAAAAAAAAAAACTGCCCCAAACTGGCCAAAATTGTGTAAAAGCTAATAGGTGGATTGGGTCTACCTTTGTTACAGCAAGCCACAGGATTTCATTGTGCAGTATTACATCCTTCAGCCCTGTGTAGGCCAGCCACCTTCATCCTACTACATATCATTGCTGGATAAGAAGGGTATCGGTCACTGGGGTCAGCACTGAGTGCAGGTTAGCTGAGTGAAGGAGAGAAAAAATGGAGTGCTAGTTGGTACCAGTGTGCAAAAGGAGGTATTTGTAAAAATCAATCACTTTTTATTTAGGTATCCTATGTGTATGCATGCCACTCAGATATGTAAAACTGTTAACATTTTGGAATGGGGTGTCTTGAGGTTGTGCATTACTTTAAAGGGTGCCTTGAGTTAAAAAGTAGGGAAACACTGTTATAGGCATTCAATAGCAAGTTGCAATTTAACTAGAATGACAAACTAATTAGCCAGCCTGATAATGGGCTTTACCAGTAGCTGGAGTCAGGTTATAAAAACTTCTTCCATTGACCGATACGTGTATGCAGCATCCTTATCAGGATTATATATACTGCACTGTGTCCCCTGAACTGACAGCCAACTCTGGTGGCACTGGTGAGTCCTAATGCTATCAAAACAGAGTGGCGCTCGATTGCCCTTGTATTCTATAAAACCCTCCTGGTACCATATGGGGCAGACTGACAATGGGGAAACACCCTTTAAACATGTTGCACCCCCCCCCCCCCAAAAAAAAAACTTTGATGTACAGCTCGGCCGTGAGGACTAACCATAGCAGAGATCACCACTCAAAAGGGCATACATCGTGTGGTTTGTTGAGCAGGTTTGCATCAAGCCAGCACCAGAACTCTCCACCTTGGTCAATCACAGCTTTACTTGGTGAAGTGCTGAGGATAATGTTTTCCTGTCCACACTGATCATGAGCAACCCGTGTTAGGGAGTTATTTTATTTGATGTAATAAATGGATACAGTATTTAAACTGAACCCCCACGCTCCTGTTTATTTGCATCAGCACTGACCAGCCTAGATCCAAGAAAAGAACTGCAGCAGCCTAATGTTTATACATAATGTTTAGTTTCCTGGAGACCATATCCACATCAGTATTGTAGGTATATGCTCACCTGTGAGTAGTTTTTGGTTTTATTATTGGTAGCACGTTATAGTGCATTTTGGTGTACTGAAATGAATGTGTATTGGAGCTACACTGGGGTACCTGTTCATTTCGATCAGCAACAAGATGCTAAAGAACACAACATGCATTGCAGCAGTGCACCCTACTGCAAAGGTTTGTTTCAGCTCTGAAGTACACTTTAATTTTCTGCATTGATGTGAATAAGCAAGAGGTCAAAAAGATTCCAATTTATCATTGTAGCACATTAACCTGGGGGGCCTAGAAAACAAAAAGGTTATTACCTGATAACTATTTCCAGGAATATTCCAGGACAGCTACCCGAGAGATAGGCCCCCTCCTACCTAGACAGTAAACACATGACCCACATTAGATGAAAGGCCATCACATAGATAGTCCCTCAGTAGTAGAAAATTACAGAAGGCTACAGCAGACCAAAATACATAATAAACACACACACACACATAATAGGATGGGTTAGAACTAACGCTGTCCTGGAAGATTCTCAGAAATACAGTTATCAGGTAATAACCTTGTTATCTCAAATCATCTTCAAGGACAGCAACCCAAGAGGATGGCCTAGAAATACCCACTTTGTGTGGGATTCCTGCCTGCAGAACCTTCCTACCAAAATGGGTCTGTTCAGGTCTGCCTGGGACAGAAGCTCCAACCAATAGTGCCTCGTGAACATGAGGAAACTAGACCATGTGAACACCTTACAGATCTAGCTAGGGGAGGCACCCGATTATTCCGCTCCAAGAAGCAGCCATAGCCCTTGTTGAATGGGCCATTATACCCCCAGGAGGGTCTAGATTTTGAGTTTTGTAGCTTTCTTCTATAGCCAGTTTCATCTATCTTGCTATGGTGTTTTTTTTTTTTAGAAGCTTTAAATAATAAACCTTTGTAGGGCCATTAAACAGGATGAGCATATTGGTAGATTTTCTACATTCTTTCGATGTAGTTGATCAGACACCTCCTCATGTCCAATTTGTTTAGATCCGTGTCTTTTTGATTTTTAGGGCTACTGTTTAATGAAGGGATAATGATCTCCTGAGAGATATGGAAATCTTAAATGACCTTGGGGAGAAAAACTGGATCAAGGAAGAGCATAATTCTAGCCATAAAAATAGAATAAGGTTTCACTATAGACAGGGCCTGGATTTTGCCAATTCTTCTGGCAGAAACCAGGGCCACCATAAGCACCGCTTTTAGTGTAGGGGGCTTATTGGAGCAATTGTCTAAAAACAGTGATTCTCAACCTGTGGATCCTCAGGACCCACATTTGTCCTTGGTCATCAAGTCGCGACCCAAAAATAAATTTAATTTCCGAAACATTATAATTTATTTCACAAAACAACTTAGACAGTATTCTACAATGTATATGCACTTTTTTAAAAACCGTAAACAAATAGCTTGCTTCCAAAATGGATAGTGCAGTAAACACAGCAGAGGAGAAAATAAAAAAAAAAAAAAAAAAAAAAGAAGATTTTGATGCTTTCAAACAGAGGCATACTTTGTACATCACTATCATGAGGGGGTTGAAACTGGCTGACTGGCAAAACAAGAACGTGCACAGTCCCAAAGAAATCTGTGTTTTCAAAACATTATGACACATCCAGTGACCACTGGAAAAGGTCTATCCTCCACCAGCTAGCGTGCACGCTCACATCCAGGCTGCGACCCGCACAGGGTCATAAGGTTTTAATACACTAAACCAGTGATGGCGAACCTTTTTGAGCCCGAGTGCCCAAACTGCAACACAAAACCAACTTATTTCTTTCAAAGTGCCAACACTGCAATGAAACCTGAGTATCGAGCTTTTGGTTTAGAAAAAACAACTCGTACAGTAGTGCAAACTAATTAACAGTACAGGGATGACCAGAGACTGCGGACACAGTACAGGGATGACCAGAGACTGCGGACACAGTACAGGGATGACCAGAGACTGCGGACACAGTACAGGGATGACCAGAGACTGCGGACACAGTACAGGGATGACCAGAGACTGCGGACACAGTACAGGGATGACCAGAGACTGCGGACACAGTTCAGGGATGACCAGAGACTGCGGACACAGTACAGGGATGACCAGAGACTGCGGACACAGTACAGGGATGACCAGAGACTGCGGACACAGTACAGGGATGACCAGAGACTGCGGACACAGTACAGGGATGACCAGAGACTGCGGACACAGTACAGGGATGACCAGAGACTGCGGACACAGTACAGGGATGACCAGAGACTGCGGACACAGTACAGGGATGACCAGAGACTGCGGACACAGTACAGGGATGACCAGAGACTGCGGACACAGTACAGGGATGACCAGAGACTGCGGACACAGTACAGGGATGACCAGAGACTGCGGACACAGTACAGGGATGACCAGAGACTGCGGACACAGTACAGGGATGACCAGAGACTGCGGACACAGTACAGGGATGACCAGAGACTGCGGACACAGTACAGGGATGACCAGAGACTGCGGACACAGTACAGGGATGACCAGAGACTGCGGACACAGTACAGGGATGACCAGAGACTGCGGACACAGTACATGGGATGACCAGAGACTGCGGACACAGTACAGGAGATGACCAGAGACTGCGGACAGTACAGGAGATGACCAGAGACTGCGGACAGTACAGGAGATGACCAGAGACTGCGGACAGTACAGGAGATGACCAGAGACTGCGGACAGTACAGTACAGGAGATGACCAGAGACTGCGGACACAGTACAGGGATGACCAGAGACTGCGGACACAGTACAGGGATGACCAGAGACTGCGGACACAGTACAGGGATGACCAGAGACTGCGGACACAGTACAGGAGATGACCAGAGACTGCAGACACAGTACATGGATGACCAGAGACTGCAGACACAGTACAGGAGATGACCAGAGACTGCGGACACAGTACAGGAGATGACCAGAGACTGCGGACAGTACAGGAGATGACCAGAGACTGCGGACAGTACAGGAGATGACCAGAGACTGCGGACAGTACAGGAGATGACCAGAGACTGCGGACAGTACAGGAGATGACCAGAGACTGCGGACAGTACAGGAGATGACCAGAGACTGCGGACAGTACAGGAGATGACCAGAGACTGCGGACAGTACAGGAGATGACCAGAGACTGCGGACAGTACAGGAGATGACCAGAGACTGCGGACAGTACAGGAGATGACCAGAGACTGCGGACAGTACAGGAGATGACCAGAGACTGCGGACAGTACAGGAGATGACCAGAGACTGCGGACAGTACAGGAGATGACCAGAGACTGCGGACAGTACAGGATGACCAGAGACTGCGGACAGTACAGGAGATGACCAGAGACTGCGGACAGTACAGGAGATGACCAGAGACTGCGGACAGTACAGGGGATGACCAGAGACTGCGGACAGCACAGGGGATGACCAGAGACTGCGGACAGCACAGGGGATGACCAGAGACTGCGGACAGCACAGGGATGACCAGAGACTGCGGACAGCACAGGGATGACCAGAGACTGCGGACAGCACAGGGATGACCAGAGACTGCGGACAGCACAGGGATGACCAGAGACTGCGGACAGCACAGGGATGACCAGAGACTGCGGACAGCACAGGGATGACCAGACTGCGGACAGCACAGGGATGACCAGAGACTGCGGACAGCACAGGGATGACCAGAGACTGCGGACAGCACAGGGATGACCAAAGACTGCGGACAGCACAGGGATGACCAAAGACTGCGGACAGCACAGGGATGACCAAAGACTGCGGACAGCACAGGGATGACCAAGACTGCGGACAGCACAGGGATGACCAAAGACTGCGGACAGCACAGGGATGACCAAAGACTGCGGACAGCACAGGGATGACCAAAGACTGCGGACAGCACAGGGATGACCAAAGACTGCGGACAGCACAGGGATGACCAAAGACTGCGGACAGCACAGGGATGACCAAAGACTGCGGACAGCACAGGGATGACCAAAGACTGCGGACAGCACAGGGATGACCAAAGACTGCGGACAGCACAGGGATGACTGCTGACCTTTGGGGAGGGAGGGGGAGCGGGTACCTGAATTTGACAGGTACCCGCTCTTACTTCCGCAGAGTTTTTTTTTTATCTTACCTGTTCCTTTATCCAGCCGCGCGCTGTCTTCCCGGCTTCTGTAGTGTGGGCGCTCGTCGGACAGCCGGATGCCCAGTGCGCATGCGCGAGAAGCGCTGCACTTTGTGATTGGTCCGGCGGCTTCTGGGATCTGTCATGTGTCCCAGGTACCGCCTTACCATTCACAAAGAGCACTGCTTCTTGTGCATGCGCACTTGGGACCCGGCTGTCATGCACACTACAGCCGGGAAGACAGCGCGCCGCTGGATTCTCCTGGCGTGCCCACAGATAAGGCTTGGCGTGCCGGCTGTGGCACGCGTGCCACGGGTTCGCCATCACTGCACTAAACCAATGTTATTCCTGTGTGTCCCTTCGACAATAATCAGGGCAATCCTCTTGGCAGGAATAGTGAACACTCATGAGTATTGGGATGTCCTTAATGGAAATGGCCAAATGCCACTCAGATGACCGCCACATTGAAAAATCAAACAAGAAAACTACCGATAGTGTAGTAAGGCAAGAACATTTATTTAGATTAAAAAAAATGACAAAATGCCTACTCACATAACAAGAGTCCACAGATCCATCAGGCATATAAACTAATCACAGACAAGTGTAATACACTGAGGCCAAGATGTCAACTGCAGTCCACGCCGGAAATGTTGTCACCATGCTTCCGTCTTATGCGTTGTCACGAATCATGGGACTTCCTCAGGGCCTGAGGAATTTGTGACGCAACACTTAGGCCAGAAGCGTGGGGATGTCATTTCCGCCATTTGTCATTGCTCACTTATTATACCTTTGTGATTGATATATATATTTTTCACTCATGTAATCAGTTATTTGGATTACGAATTGGATCATGTTAATGTTTAGTCCAGAGTGTAATTTTTTCCATACTATGTTTATTCATTTATTATTTTACCTTTGCACATATGTCACTTATTGAATATCACTAGTATATATGTTTTTCTTTGGGTAGATCAGCACAATTTTTCTTATTCCTTTTTGTACTATTATAGTTAGAGGTGTGCAGTCACTCAGTTTTTTGGTAAGGTATTGGCAGCCCAGGATAGTTTTTTCCATGGTGCAGCAACGGCCCTAGTCCACCCCTGGTCACAACCCACTTTTGGGTCGTGACCCATTACTTGAGAAACTTGGGTCTAAAAGGCTCAAAAAGGGGGCATTTTGAAACCCTCTGAGGACCGTTCCCAAATTTCATGTTGGGAACTTAGCTCTACATAGTGTCCTTTTCCTAGAGACTGAAATCAAAACACCGTTTAAGGGAACCTCTGCTAAGCGAATTTCAAGGAAGTTAAAAACAAGATAGATTTCAGACTCCCCATTTCAAGCATGTCTGTGTGAAGACTGTTAAGAGACCACTCTGCTTCAACTGAAAACAACTCAGGCTGTTAGCCAAGCAATTCAAATTCCCATTCAAATAAACTGCCGATATGGAAAACAGATGTTTCTCTGCCCAGAGTAGAATCTGCCCTGCCACTAGACTGGTCGACTTTGTGCGCCGCGCCCCCCCCCCCCCCCCCCCCCCCCCCCCGTTGACTGATGTATGCTACAGCTGTAATGTTGTCAGTCAGGATCTGAACATGATTCCCCCGCACTAGAGGTTTGAAATCTGCCAACGATTCCCCAAACGCTTTCAGTTCCCTCATATTAGGGGAAATAGGGCCACTTCTGGTCCTCCTGTTCCTCAGAGTCAGATGTTCAGCTTCTGGGGGTGGGGAGCACATCTTGGTGGAGTCTGGTTATTCTCATGTGTTCACCTGCCTCCATGGTTGAACTACCAAAAAGGTTTGAGGGCAGATCCACCATTCGATAGCATTCTTCAGTCTCTGGGATGACCATCCTCTCATCTAGAGATTGTGGTTGACCATCCCATTCTGACAGAATGTAGTTTGTAAAGCCTTTGAATGTAGCTGGGCCCACTGAACTGCCAGGATTGAAGCAGTTACCCAACCAGCCTCATGGCTTCTCTTTTTGAGCAGTCTGAAGAAACCAGCAACTCTGAGCCCCGTAAAAGGTTCTGGGATCTTATACTCTGTCAAAAAAAAATCTTTGAATTCTCTGAATCCAAAACACAACCGAGGTAGACCAGCTTCTTTGATGGGGTTAACTGCGATTTCTTGACATTTATAATACATACTGTCTCCTGGAGGTAGGATTTCATCGTCTTGAGACTCTTGTCGCAGCTGCTGTGCTCGTGAAAATTAGGTCATCCAGATAAGGGAAGACATCTAGGCCTTTTAGTTGCAAAGCACTAAAGACAGGCCAAAAGAAAGAACATTGAACTGAAAAACACAATGTTCCTGTTGGCCCTTTTATGGCAAATCGCAGACATTTCTTTGGACTCTTCCCTGACAGGGACATGCAGATAGGCATCTTTTCATATTGAGAGACAGCACGAATGATCCTGGCAGAATTCATTCCTTGACAGAATTTATCGACTCAATTTTGAATTTTTTGTATTGGACAAATATTTGTTTACTTGTTTCAGGTTGAGAATCATTCTGAAGCTTCCCAAAGGTTTCCCTTTCTCACATGGGAACAAAAATCTCTGCTTTCTTCCTCTAATATGCAAGATTACGTTCTGAACCAACATGTCTTGAAGAAGGGACATTCGCACCTCCGCTTTGTCCTGTTGTCTGAGGAGAGGAGTTGCAAAAAATCTTTGAGGAGGATTCCCCATAAATTCTATGCAGTAACCACATTTGATGATGCCTAGAATGAACTGGTTTTGTGTAGCTTTGATCCACTGTGGAAGGAAAATTTCTTAATCTTCCTCCCACCCTGCTCCCTGAGTCATTGGGATTATGGCTAATCTTGGACTGGGAAGCATTTAAAAAGCCTCCCTCATCTTTTCCCTTCTTGAAGTTCCAGCCGACTTTGCCTGTCCTCTGGCCAGCTGTTGATTGGAAGTGCGGAAAAAAAAAAAAAAAAAAAAAAAAAAAAACCTCTACCCAAACTTGCTTCTTCGGAGCCAGAAAACCTATCTGCTGACCTCTCCAGTACTAAACAAGCTCTGATCCGAAAAGAAGATTTCCTTCAAACGGCAGGCTGTAGAGTTTGGTCTTGGATACTTGGTCCCTTTGTCAAAATTTTCAACCAAATTGCTCTTCTAGCAGTGTTCAACAGGGCAGTGGACTTGCAGTGAGTAATGGTTTCTGAGGTGTCTGCCATGAATTCCACTGAAGGCAAAATCAGAAGATTTTAGAATCTGGTCGGCTGAAGTGCCCTTAAGTAGGTGGGATTTAGATTACCTTGGTACACATCCAGCATGAGGGCAATGCATGTGGAGACCAATGCGGGCCTAAAGTTTGCAGCACTGGCCTACCATGTGCGCTTGAGGTACCTTTTCGCTTTATGGTCCATGGGGTCCTTCAGTGCCCCTCCATTGAACGACAGGTCAGAATTGCTTGACACTTCAGCTAAGGAGGCATCCAAATGTGGAAATTTTCCCCAAAGATCCGAGTCCTCAAATGGGAACCTCCTTTTAAAACGGTTGGGGAGGAAAGCCTTTTTCGGCTCTGGTTACTCCCGCAGGATAGTTTCCCTGAGAGTGTAATGCACTGGAAAGGAACAGGCCTGCTTCTTTTGGAGCCTTGCATAAAGCGGATCATGAAGCAGGAGTACCTTTTCTTTTTCCTCAAACCCCAGAGTGTCATGGATTGCTTTTAACAGTTCATTTTCCTCTGCAGGAAATAGAATTTCTGCTGCTTACTTTCCTTTACTGATCTCTCCCTCTTCAGAATCATCCCCGAATTCTCCTCGGAGTTATCTGATGGCCCCTGCTCCTCCCGCACCACTGTGGAGGCAAGTAGCAGCTGCGGACAATCCAGTGCTAGAAGTACTCGGTACTGTGTCTTTGTGTGCATACTCATCCATTAGGTTTCTGAAGGATTGAAAGGTAAGTGCCAATTCATGCTTCAAGCTTCCCAGATCTCTGCCAGATCTGCCTCCATGACAGCCACATTAGGAGCAGCTGACTCCCTGGTCCACCTTCCTTCTGGCAGTAAATCAAGGAGTTAATGGGGAGCCGCCCAACGCACCTGTGTCTGTCCTGGAGGTCCTCCTGCAGCATTGTGGATCAAATGCCATGCTCCAAAAAGGAAGCTCACTGTATTCCCTGGTAGAGCTAACCAAACAAACAGAAAAAAAAAAACCCCGTGGCCCCTGTACCGTTGCCCAGAAATGACATCAGATGCCGCCCATCGGACATTTATGTCAGTGCCCATGCGCCGGAAGTGAAGATGGAATCCTCTACCGCCCATGATGGGCATGGAAGAAAACCTTCACACCACCACGAGGAGCCACTCTCCTGGACACAGTGAGTTGTGAGGTGGGAGTCCCCTGCCCACCATACCTACAGGAACAGGTACCTCACATTCCCCTGAAGTGTGTGCAAACACCAAAAACAAATAGAAAAGGGAGGGGGTTTCCCAAAACTTGGGAGTTCCCTGGTCATAC